GGAAAAAATATCAGATTTCTCCCTGACTCTCACAGGCTGGTTCTGCAAGCTTTCCATAGGCAGAGGCAAGCTCTTCTAGAGTTCCCCCTCTGTGCACTGTATAAGACTGCAGAGACCTGCCATCAAGTCACCCTGAGAGTGCCACCTCCTTTCCTAAATACTGCTTACAAGGAGTGAAGGCTATGAAGTGCTTTCTCTCCCCCATTCTGCCAATCCACTGCATGGCAGCCACAGTTAATACTATTCCTATTGCTGTCGGCTCAGGTATACAGTACCTTGGAGCACTGCAGACACACAACTACATACATATATATATATGTACAGGCTCCCACAGGCAGTGGACAAAACTCCAAGCTGCCAGAACTCACGAAGTATTTGGATAACACTCTCAGACATAGGGTTTAATTTTTCTGTGGTGCTGGGTGGAGCCTTATGATGATCCTTACGAGCTCCTTTCAACTTGATATATTCTATGATTCTATGAATCTGCTCCTCCTTCTAGAGCATATGCATTCTGACAAATGTTACAATCGTGGGAAAGGGTACAGGAGCATCCAGAGACTGGGTCTGTGAAACGTCATATAAGTTGTAAAAATCTAGAGTGCTGAGAATGCTAGAATGCTAAAAAAACACGTCTATAATTCAGGAAAGGTAGCAGTAAAATGTGCAAATGAAGCCTAGCTGTGCTTCACCAAAAAAAAAGAGGCAGAGTATACCTAAATCTGTTACAGTACTGTTACGATACATTAATAACACTACTCAGTGGATCACCACACTTCCACAATGAAGATCTGTTCCAAAAGACCTGTTCAGCATCACTACAGCTTCTTCTCAGTGTTATCACTATCTTCACACTCTTTCTTGTCTCTAGAAATTCAGACAGCTCATTAAGGCCTAGGATGGGTACGAGGAAGCATCTTCCCATTTTTCATCCTTACCTTCTCTCCACTGGAGTAGAAGAAATAACGCAATCGGACAATGTTACAATGATCCAGCTTTCTCATAATCTGGAGCTCTCGGTTCTGAAAAGAAAAAAAAGGAGAAATGCAAACGATTAGGAACTCTTTTCTCAAGATTTTAGAGCACTGCACTGAATACCATATAATTCATATAAAGGAGATTATAAAACTGAGCCAAAGAAAACTGGAAGTTGGAAAGATGTAACAGTTCTCTTGCTGTAAGAATCACAAGTCGATCAGTCTTTCTCCCAGTTACTTTACCACTGAAAATACTGATGTCACTAAACGTATTTTCCCTCAAAAACAAAGATCTGTAAATACACTGCAAAACCCAAGAACTATCTACTTTGCATTACTTAAGTATCAGTGTTAAGAGTCAAGAAAACATTAACTTTGCATTTTTATTTTCTGATCTTACCATTATACAAAGTATCAGCCAGAATGGTTAGAAGGCTTCCTACTTGAATACTGGAAAAATAATGTAAATAATGTAAAAGCAAACATAACACTTCTACTCCTCCATCCATGGGACTAACGGCCAACTGAATTCCACCACTCTGATGTCCAAGTGAATTTCAACACACTGATGACCACCTGAACTCCACCACAGTGCTCTCTCATTGCCCTCCTCAGAGGATGAGAAGCAGGAGAAAATATGATGAGAAAAAAGGAAAAAAAGCTCACAGATGGAAACCAAATGAATTCCACCACAGCCAGATTCAGAACAATGCTATGAAACAGGTGTATGATGGAAAAGCCTTTCCCGTACCACTTCTCCTTGAAATGCCAAAAAAAAGACATGTAACTGAGAAGGGAACTCAATTCCCAGTTTCATTCAACCATGGTTTAACTAGATGTAGGCAGAGAGAACAGCAACACTATTTTTTCCATTTTATATCAACTTGAAAAATCTGTTAAGATAAAATCAATTCATGATATACATAATAAACTGGGGACTTTGCTGCAAATACCCACTGCAACTGAGCCCTAAACAAATTAGGGAGCTTCTAGTCTAATAGATAAAATAAGTGAAATTGTTGAATTGCAGGTATGGATGAAAACATGCTAGTAAAATTAACACCGCTATGTTTTATATTTTATTCCACAGCTGTTGCTATAACACACCTCTCTCCTATGGTTACACATACACATCACTTTTTCCTTCCTCGTTTGCTGCATCTATAGTTCTAAAACTAGAAGGCATTTCAACTTTAACTTGGATCACAGGGTTGCAAATCATGCAACCTGATTAGCTAGGATCAGATATGCACTAATCCTACTAGCTTCAGCAACCTTGAAATCTTCAGGGATATTTAGGAAGAAAACTCTTTAGCTACAAAACGTTCTCATACATATATGCTCGAAGTTCACACTTCGTGAGGTGCTGTTGTTGAAACATGGGTATCATATTCTAAGCATAAGAGAGTCACATACACTGCTTATCACTACTACTGAAGCTTGAGGAACTCTGCAAGAATCCTGAAATTCTCCTGAAATCTCATGGAGTGAATTTGAGGAAGAGGAATATTGGGTTCACCACGTAACTTCACCTACACACCTTGCACCTAACGGAGAAAAGAGTTCTTCTGGCAGGAATGGGAGCTTAAACAATCTCCACCTACTTGCTTCCTTATTGAAAATTACCAATAAGAAGTCATTTTGGCTAGTTGTGTTTGGGGTTCCTGTGACACATGGTACAATTCTGACTTTTGACGGACAGGAAGAATCTGTCTTCTCGTTTTGTCCAACCTGCATACCACTGCTCATGCAGTGCTATCATCTCAGTAGCTGAAAATCCACAACAGATTTTAACTATCATAACAAAGCTGGGATGGATCTAAACTCCATCAGTCACAGAAACACTCCTTGTGAAGAAACACTCCTTTCTCCAGATGGATTTTACAGTGCTTAACAATATTATCACCTGACTGAAACTAACACAAGAATTTCCCGTATCTCCAACTCAATTCCACCAGCAAGATAAATGATTTTTTCCACCATTTATCCCAGTAAGATGGAAATAACACCATTTATCTAAGGGAATTACTGAAGAAACAAATGAATGTACTAAGCATGCATGTGTAAAAACTATTTTAGCAATCCCTCTACTAGCTCCCTAAAATACGCATATACACTCTTAAGTCAAGTTATTGCTTCAATCTCTTAAGATAGCATGTGTATGCTGACTGAATACACTGTGAAAAAAAAAATCAGGAGTTACTCTAATGCAAGGCTGAGGTTATATTTATCCCCTGGTACCTCAGCCCAGCAGAAGCACAATCTGTGCTTACTCTGATGCCTTCCATTCAGATCCGTCTCCTTCGGCTCTGACCCCGACCATCTGCTGTGGCTCCACAGGCAGCGCTTCAAGGGGTGCTAACATCAGGGATAACCATAAACCAGTTACACAGTAACCTACATCTAGCATCCCAGAAACAGACTGAATGAAGCAACTGTCATCTTAGTCACCTCAGCTGTCTTAAAACCAATCAGACTTTCAGTCATAACTCCTGATGGAGGTGAAAATGCATTACTCAGTCACAAAAGCTCAACTGGATGTGGCAGAGAAGAGAGCTTCTGATGCTCATGTCACAGACTGATGCTCTTAAGAACTCATTTCTCTCCAATGAATATGTCAAGAATTCTCACTGTACTACTTCACTGCATGCTTCTTAAATACTTAACAGCTATTTCACATCAAAGTGGGTCATTAATTACCTGTGCACAAATACACTTCGGGGAAAAAAAAAAAAAACAACAAAACCTGGATTACACTAAGGGAATCCTTCATGAAAAGAACAGTGACAGATGTCCTAGACAGTGTAAGAGAGAAAGCATACAACTAGATATAGTGCAGGCTAAAACCATTTCAAAACACGCTGAAGAGACAAGCTGACAGTGCATGACCAAAACACAGGGTGGATGGAATCATGAAGCTCGTGCTCATCCTTCGTTCATCTTTGTCTTTCATGAGTGACATTGGTGAAAAGTCCAAGACTCAAGGAAGAAATACTTCCCTTCTCCCTCTATTCATAGGAAGAGAAAGATTTAGTTTACACACCAACTGAGAATTTCAGCCCAAAGAACGATGAAGGCAGCTTCAACCTTCAGCACCATCCCTTCCACAAGAGAGGACCCAGAGTATCTGAAACACGGAGCTCTTGTGGTACACACTACACTCTTTCAAGAAGCAGCACAAACAATGGCCGTGAGATGATACTTGTGTAGATTTCTCCTGCAGTTTGATTTATCTAAAATCCAGAATGCAAGGGGCTGCTAACACACAGTCAAGGAAGACTGGTTTGCAACCAGTGCATTTCAGTAATTACCGGTGCAAACCTAATGCGACAAAAATCTGTTTATTGCTTCTGAAGACAACTCTCTCTGAATCAGTTCATTATATTGAATAAATGCAGTTGCTCTAAGTCAAAGAATGCCAAGACATCATCAGATTTGTAGCTTTAAACCACAGCCAGTTAAGCTGATGCATGAAGATGCCTGTCTTCTCTCCGAGGTTGTACCCCAACTCCTCACAGCTATGCTAATGCTGTAATTGATTTAAAACCACCAAAGCAAGATTATTTCTGGCTTGCTACCTTAATCTGTTATAATGGACTAGGATAACTATCTCCCAACGCATTCTCTTCTGCCCCCATTCAGACTTCTAGAGCTATGTCAGCTATTTATCAATCCTAAACTTGATCTGTTATTTTTGTTTAAATAATTTCACAAAATGACTTGATCTTAAAGGATTATGGATTTGAAACTTGAACTTCATCAGATCAAATGGAGGTGAAAAGTTCCGTGCAGTGCCCACCAGCATGTCAGAATCAATATAAACTCAATGAAGTGTAGAAATATCACCTGGATATAGTTCAGAAGAGATGTTCTTGGAGTTCCCTTGGTTAAGGAGCATGCTGGATTTTACTTTTTTTTTTTTTCCTTCCTAAATGACTGAAATCTCAGCAAGGTACTTTGAAGATGCTGAAAGCAGATGAAACAAGAAACTAGAAAGTTGCATTTTTTATTTGCTACACCAAGGTTACAACCTGGTTCTTGCGACCACATAAGGTTGTGTTCCTCTGGTTCTCTTCAGAGATGGCATCTTTTTGAGGGAAAGGCAGCATCCTTTCAGGGACAAAATGCTAATCTATTCCAACAATTTTTCAACAACAATTTAAACAACCATCTTCTCACAACTAAAGGTAATGCTCATTTTTGCACTTTGACTTTATTCTTCTTAGGACAATACCTTCAAATGCTTGAGTTCAAAATGCCCCATTCTCCTCTCTGGTTGCAAAAAGAAGATGAATGACAATCATCATAAATTCTGGCATTATACACAGGCAGAAGCAGCATAGGTAGATCCAAATTTCTTGGCATACGCAATTCTCCTCTTGTATGTTTCACATTTATAGCTTTCTCCTTTTTTTCTGCTGTCTCCATAATTTTCTCTGTTCTACCACGCTTCTTATTCTTCTGCAAAGCTTTCTGCACAGTGATGAGCTGGAGCACGGGGTCATTAGAGCAGTGGAGAAAGGAACTAGTTTCCAGCAAGAGGCATGAAGGCTATGATAAAGCCTCAAGTTTGTTTTTTTCCTCTTCTTCCTGCTTCCACTTGAAGAGCTTTAATTGCCAGGCACCTCCATTCATCTGCTGCACCACTGAGCCTCTCTGAAGAAAGGTTCACGCCATCACCTTGAGAGGCATCAAGCATTTCCACAGAGCAGAAAGAAGTATCACTATCCCATCCATGTTCCATCACCTGCAAAAGGCTGCACAGGGCAGCAGTCATACACAGACAGGTCTTCCCATCTGAGGTCTTCTCTACAAATTCCTGGAGCTGCCTGACCCATCCCTCCAAAAATGCATTTCAGATGCAGTCAGTCACAAGGCTTCTTTTAACGCTGTCTTGCTGTCACCAAAAGAATGTCAGAAATTACTCTAGGGCTCAGAGAAATAACTTCCTTCCACAGAAATATGATGATTCAGTCATTTACAGAATAAAAGGTTAATTCCTAGATTATCCTGTATTTGCCCCAAGCCATCACTGAAATAAACCA